ATTACAAGAAAAACACATGATATGTGTGTTGCATACTATTTACAGCTGTTGTCTATTATGGGATCTCTGGACCATCATTTGCTGCTACAGCTGAATGGTCCCATAAGTTTAACTCACCAATGCGACTGCAAAATTGTCTTAAATCACAGAAAGGAATAGAGGAAAATCCACTAGAAATGGCTAAAATGGTGCTTATGTCTTCATGAGCACTCACAGTTTTCCTCATTTGCTTCTTCAAGATGCCCAGAGCAGCCTATTAGGTCTTGTGGTGTATTACAACGTAGCAGATTATCAACCTGACTCTCCAAAGGAAAGAAACATATTGTTGATGACTCTTTGCAAGGGCTGCATTTGGCTTATTGACTAATGCACTACATTGTACTGGGTGTCAGGTAATGGGAGCCAACTGGCCCAGACAATGAGAGTGTTCAGTTGGTGTTGCAAATTTACAAGAGCTTAAGCTGTTTTTTATTTCTTCTTGCTGGGCTGGGAGCACTTACTATTGTTGTTCAATATGCTGTAAATGAACGTAGTTCAAAAATCACAAAGAGAGTGATATGGAATTATAGAATTGAAAATAGCCTACTGATTGGGTACAAATTCATCAAGCCTCTTTATTTCTCAACAAGCTTTTTATTGGCATGCCAATAAAGCTTGCTTTGGAAGGAGTGAAAATGATTGTAAGCAAATGATATAGTGGGAAAGTTGACCTTCAGTTAACTTCAGCTGTGCTCAGCTAGCTAACTGTGTATCTCCCCCACAATATGCTTATTTATTAAGTTCTAGTTAGCAAATCATTAGTTTTACATGCAGAATACCCAATCCAATACTGAATTTCTTCAGCAACATATGTAATTTATCTCAGGTAGAAAATGGTGAGACTGGAATTTGAACTCTGGAAATACAGCTCTAAAAGTTGTTCTCTTCTCCAGTAGGCCATACTGTCTCTGATGAAACAAATCTACAATAATGACCTATAATAATGTCAGAATTATTTTCCTTTGGCATATCTTTCTCCTGCTGAAAAACCACCCTTGACTCTCTATTTCTTAAAGTAGTGGTTCTCAACTGTTCTTTTATGGACAAATATATCAAATATTTTCATTACAACTCTATCTTTCACTCTTCGCTTCCAAATCCAGAAAGCATACCTGAGTTTATGCCATCCCAGGTAATATTATTATAGGGATGACTTTAAATCTATTCTTATAGTCATGTAAGTTAGACTAGAGTTTAGCAGGATGTAACAGAAATGTGATTACATTTGACTAGCCAAATAGTGGTTTATTGGCCTCAACTATCCAGAAGCATTGAAGAAACTAGTGAAGATGTAATGTAGCTACTTAAGGACTTTTTCAAGAACCCAGACTCTTTCTACCTTTAGAGACAATCTTATCATGTGACTTTGATTCTCAAGTTGGCTTCCTTACCTGAAAATATCATATCTATGCTCAACGAAGGAAGAAGGGCAAGGATGAAAGAAAAAAACCAAGAGGGCATTTGCCAGGTGATATTATGCACTTTAATCAGTTTTCCAGAAAGACTCACCTCCTGCTATCATTTATATCTCATTGGCTACCACTCTATCACATGGCCACTCCTACCTACAAGAGGATTCACAAAGCTGGATGTTCTTTCTTTCCCTCGACAAATCAGGGATTCTAGTATTAAGAAAAAGGCTATTGGACAGGCAACCAGCAGTTTGTGCCATATGTGTATGTGTATATATATGTGTGTGTGTGTGTGTGTGTATGTGTGTGTGTGTGTGTGTGTGTGTATAATGTGTATTACATGCCATCAAGTCAGCTTCGACTCCTGGTGACCCTATGAATGAGTGATGTCCACAATGTCCTGCCCTCAACAGCCCTGCTCAGCTCCTGTAGACTCGTGCCTATGGCTTCCTTTTTGCAGTTAATTCATCTCATATTTGATCTTCCTCTTTTCCTGCTGCCTTCTACTTTCCCCAGTGTTACTGTCTTTTCCAAAGACTCCTGCCTTCTCATGATGTGCCCAAAGTAGGACAGCTTCAGTTTTATCATTTTTGCCTCCAGTGTTGTTCAGGCTTAATTTGCTCCAGGACCCACTTGTTTGTCTTTCTGGCAGTCAGGGCTATCTATCTATCTTTCTTTCTTTCTATCTATCTATCAATTATAACCAAACATTTACACTTTCTTTAGTAACCAATGATTCTTCAATAGACCCCATCACTGACCATGGCATACCAGTGAGTAAATCCCTAAACAAAACACACACGGAGATCTTACCAGTTTGACAGCAGCCTACCTTTCTAAATTCATGTGCCACATCTTCAGTCCTTTGCTTCAGCCACTAATAGCTTTTCTTTATTCTTGAATGCACCAATTTTTACTCTTCTGTGTTCTTTGCATGTATCTTTTTCTTATCTTCTCTCTCTGGTTAGATAGCACTTATTCTGCAAGACCCAGTCCAAATAGCATCATGTCTCTGGAAATGTCCTTACCTCTCAGTCAGATCTATTTTTGGTGCCTTGTATACACCTCCACTAGCTCACTTGTCATTCATTCCTTGCATGTTTGTCACTACCAACAAATGCTTTGGCCTCTTACAGAACAAGGACTATAATTTATTCAACTTTTTCTACCAAGTGCCTCCTGCAGTTCCTGGAATATGCCCAAGACACCTGCTTAAGGAAAAACAAAACTGAATATTATCCCCAACATACAAATGATCTACCAGGAGCTGAAGTGACCTGCTCTCAGCATAGTCAGTAAAAATGCACTGATCCATGCCCCTTAAACCTGGAGCTCAGTGGCTGTCACCAGAAAGAGTGTTTTTTGTCTTAATTGATGACAATAGTAATATAATTATTAATTTAAAAGTTTATTTCTTTGTATCTTCTGTTACCTGTTCATTAGCTCTGTTATTGACTGTTATTCAGTTTTGTCTTTCTTTGTACAGATTTAGAGACACAGTTTATTCCCTCAAAAAGACTACTGTTTAAGGGAAGAAAAGACATATTTAACTTATAGTGATTTGAATGATATGGAAAGAAATGACTAGTTTAACTTTTAGGCTGTTTAGTGGCTGGGGTATTTATACTTGGCAAACACTTAGTTCTTGTCATTAGAGTGGGTTTAGGAGTGATATGGAATTGGGTGAGGATACAAAAGGAAGACAGAGTAAAAAAACACAGAAATTGGACCGGGGTAGAGCAGACATGTTGAGTTGCTAGTGTGATGTCACATCTTCCCCCTCTTTCCCCAAGTACATGGGGGACAGACATCACTAATCAATCAACACACGTTTTCCACCTGAGCCAAGGCGCGGTCTCAGAATACGTCTCAACACTATGATGCTTCAGATGTCTTCCATCAACAAAGGAAGGAAGACTAGCCTATCTTTAGCTCATCAAAGCATTCTCCAGGTCTACTCATGTCAATACGCTCCCTGTGGTTGGGCAGAGAGTGTTCTCTTGATTCCTTTCACAACATGAAGAAAGTATGGCAACTCCAAGATTGAACTTCCAGGTGCTTCCCTCTTTTGTCAAGTCTCTCTCAAGGATTGGATTCATTGTCTTACAATCATGAAGTTCCCAATACAAGTTCTGTACTTGACTCCTATTTCTACTGGAAAATGAGAGGGACCATCCTATCCATAGACTTTATAACTGAGAAAGGAGGGAACTAGCATGTATTCAATGGCAAGCAATATGCCAAGTGCTTTATATTTATATCTTTTTGTTTCTATAACGATCACACGAGGTGAGTATCACTGTCACCATTTTACAGATGAGAAAAATGCCTTAGAGAAATTAAGTAATTTGCCTAAGATCTTACAACTGGTGAGTGATGATGATAAGATTCAACCTCAGATCTGTGACATGCAGCGTCATGCTGTTGGACTCTGGAGAGTTAATTGATTCTTTTATGGTCTTGATGAAATCTTCTTCTTGGCTTGTTTTCATACCACTAAGAACTTACGCTTTTGATAAAAGCCTTGAGATTTAAGTTTATACTTTCTTGAACCTTGCAGACTGTAGAGGCAGATGGAAAATGGATAAGTGTAGATCAGATATATATTAGAAACAATCAACCTATTTCGGACTTCATGACAGTCAGGTGTACTTCTGGGTCCTGGAGATTGTCTTGATGGAAATGGAAAGTGTAGTTAGGTTTAATTTTCTTGTGTCCCTTTTTCTGCAGGGAAGCGTCCATACCAGGTGATCACCGCCCGAGTTCACCCAGGAGAGAGCAATGCCAGCTGGGTGATGAAGGGGACCTTGGAGTTCCTGGTCAGCAGTGACCCTGTGGCTAGGCTCTTGAGAGAAAACTTCATTTTCAAGATCATCCCCATGCTCAACCCAGATGGTGTCATCAATGGCAAGTATGTCAGGCACACGACTCAACCTGGCCCTCATTTATGTCACCGTAGTAACACGTGGTCATTTCGCCCAATGGATGTGATTGGAGAGGCCTTGGTGCTCTGGTAGGAAGAAATTCACTTGGGCTTCTATGAGCTGGTACAAATAGCAACATACTCTCCATACACATTGATGTCAGTCTCATTGTCTTTTAAATAGAAAGGCATAGGTTCATAGGCAATTAATACCAGAGGGGTGCTTAGAAATAATCTAGCCTAATACTCCTTTTAAAAAGGAGAAAATACGTGTCCAGGATGATCAAATGACCTGCCCAGGTCACATAATTGTTTAGCAGCAAAGTCAGGGCTCAAACTATGATTTCTCCACAGCTGAGAAGTTGTTATTTACTTACTAACGTTTACTGCAGAGAAATCTTTATTTTCAGTTTTATTTTACTGGATTCTGGATACAGCTATAATAAGGGTGTCACCTCATCTAAATGGAAGGGCTGAAATGGTTGAAAAATGGCTGTGGAATGGCTGAATGTGGAATGACTGAAAAATGGTTGGCTGCAAGAGAGAAGATAGGGGTGGTGCTTCTTGTTGCCTAGCCCCTACATGCCTTTGGATTATATAACGGGAAAGATGAATTCCAGTGATCGATGAGGTATGTTGGAAGGGGTCAACGTTTTCAGGGTTTGTGAGCTGAGGTCCAGATATCAGAGCAGGTCCCTAGGGTCCCACGGCCAGTGGGTGGGGGTGGCAGGATTAACATTCACAAATACCTGTCTCAAACTCTGTGGAAAGAGACTAAAGCCCCTTCCCATGGTAATAGATAATTCTTTTTACTATAGAAATGGATGTTATCCTATGCAAAAAACAGAATACAAGATAAACAGAAAAATTGAAAGAAAAAATAATTCCCAAAGCTAAAAATGGAAAAACTTACAATTTACTGAGGAAGATTGATCCTGAGCTAACATTTGTGCCCATCTGCCTCCATTTTGTATATGGGATGCTGCCACAGCATGGCTGGATGAGTGGTGCGTAGGTCCGCACCAGGGATCCGAACCTGCAAACCCCAGGCTGCTGAAGCGGAATGTGTGAACTTAACCACTACGCCACTGGGCTGGCCCCAGAACTTACAATTTAAAATATCAGTATTAAATAAGCAAAAACACAAGTTTAGAAAACTGAGAAAATACAGCAACAATAAAAAAGTGAAACAGAAGAGATAAAATTAGAAATATAAAGGTAAAAGAAAACAAAAATTTCAAAGAGAAAATTACAATGACTTAAGAGAATGTTTTCAGAAAAATAAAACGGTAATGAATTTTTTTCAGAAAAAAACTAAGTAAATGTTAAACATCTGAGAATAGGCTAGCTTCAAAGGATAAGCACAAAAAAGAATAAGTTAAAAATATAAAGATGATAAAATATAAAAACAGGATCAGCATAAATTCCTAATGGTAAAATATGTTAAACTATGCCAAAATGCAAGCAAGTCAAAGCTGTAGACTGTAAAAACAAAATTTCAATACGTACAAAAAAAAAGAAGAAGAAGATAAGTAAGGCATGCATGTGTTCCTAGTGTTTCCTAGTTTTGTAGCTCCCAGACTCCATGTTTTTTGGAGGAGGTTTTTGATGGGCAGAGAGCAGAGTCCTTCCTCTTTGCCTATGGTGACTGGTTGGTCTTCAAGCGCTTGTGAGGAGTAGGAGGACAAGTTGCTCAGTAAGGAGCATCACTTAGGCCTCTGGCAGCAATTAGGTGTCTTAGATCTCAAGCTGGACAGAGCCCTAAAGCAGTGTTCTTTCCCGGTCCAACAGAACTCAGCTGGCTCCTGCCGTGTGCTCCTTTAGCTCTGGAGAAGAGCTCTAGGACATCAGTGAACGGCTCCTCCCCGCTTGAGGGGCCAAGCATTTTACTAGCAAGCTTTCTCAGCCCAGATGGATGGAAAACAACCATGCAAGCCATCTTGAGGCACATAATCCTGTTTCAACATTTTCTCAAATGAATTGGCTCTTTTCTGAAGTTTCTCCTTCCATTAAATTGTCTAGGGTCTAGTGGAGAGTGGAAGGAGCACTGGGTTCAAAGTCATAACTCTAGTTTGGAATTCTGGCTCTTCTCCTGACTTACGTGGTTTTTTCTGCTGTTGGAAGATGAAGATAACAGGCTCACTATTGACCTGTCTGGGAAGAGATCTCATAAGCCCAAGGCAATATTTAAGCTCAGGGTTAAGTATTGTAGTTTCTTCTGTTTCAAGTGCTCATACCTCCAAATTAGGGGCTTGATCCAGGTCTTTAGTTGAAAGGTTAATGTGGTCTCAGTCATTGAGCATCCTTCTGGCCTGGATATAGTTATTTCCAGCTCACAGCTTGTTGCTTTGGACTCCCTAGTGGCAGGCCAGCTTCTTCTCAGTGACACTGCCATTCATCATCATTACTATTATTTATTATGACTAAAATTACTCTTTTTATTTGTATAGCATCTTTCATCATAGAGCTCAAGGCACTTTGTAGATCACTTGAATCACCCAAACAATTTTGGAAGGGACTTGGAGATCATAGTGTTATTCTACTGATAGGAAAATCCACAGGTCATAGCACACCATCATCAAAAGAGTTGAGACTGCCATGGATGCATAACATCTCATGATAAAAGAGCTTGTAAGTCTCAGCTCATGAAGTCTTCTTAGAACCTACCTCACATATGGTTTATGTCACTAACTTCCACTTGAACTCTTTCTGTGATTGACATTCCATTTCAGGGCATGCCTATTCCATTGTGCATAATTAGGTGGACTTGTGTTTTTCTGTGTTTTGATCTTTGCCCTGTGAACTTCACACATTTTAGCCAGTCTTACCTTGGGGTACCCCATGGGCAAAATCTAATCCCCTTTTTATATACCTTAATTTCCCCATGTGAAGTCTTCTCCAAGTTTGATACAGTTCCTAAACATTGCTTATGTGATATTGTTCCTGAAGTTCTGATCTTCATTGATTTTCTCTGGACACATTCTTCTTAATAGGCTTCTTAAAAGTAATAGAACTGCCCTGTGTGTGGTCTGATCAGCAAAGAGGCAATCTTTGCATAAAGATTAGAGAGCCTAATCTGAACTCGGTACTTAACTTACTAGACCAGTACTCTTCTTTTACAAGTAATCATGGCCCCCCTGGAGTTCGCAAGAATGTGTAAAAGTAGAGTAGTTTCTTTTCATGGTGATGGTAATGGAGCCTCTGAGGATGGCTGGGAGGTTTTGATAACTGTGGTCAGGGAGACAAAGCCAGGATTTTCTAGCAAAACTATGGTGGGTCTTGCCAAGCCAAAGATCTCTTAGCAACACATGTCTGTAGCAGGAAAACAAAATACAAAGGTGGTTTCCAGAAGAATCAATCTACCATCTTGCTGGCCTGGTAGTTTGTATTGAATTGGGCTGAGTTCTAAATAATCCAGGAGGACCAATGCAGTGGTCCCTTGACTCTTATAATTCTCTCCAACGTGGGCTAAAAGAACAGGAAGTCAACAAATTGAGTTAGAGCAGAAGTGATAATGGTGGCTTGATTAGAGTGGAGAGTGGGGAGAAGGTGGTGATCCCAGACCTGTTTAAAAGGTAGACATGACATGAAAGTGAGGAAGAGGAACAAATCTAGCATGATTCCCAATTTTTGGACTTGGGTTGTTGGGTGGATGATAGTGACAAAATAACTTTTATAAAGTCAACACACAGACCAACATTTGATTCACAGGAGAATCAGAGGATATTGATTCTTAGTATATACTCAACTCTACAAACTTGATTATCTCCTTCCAAGGCCATTGTGGAACAGAAACAAACAACAATAAGGAGAAAGGGGCATGCTATTTGTAAATACACCACGGTATTAAGAAGTAATAGCTGAATGCTCTAGGGAAAACAAACAAAACTATAAAAATCAGATAAATAATTGTGACAATTTTAACTATCTGGGACCATTTAAAGTTAGTGCCAATAGTCTGTTACTCCACTGTGGGTTGTGAAGGCTTTATTTTACTACAATAAAGGCACTCATAGACTTGATCTAAAAAAATTTATTCAGCACCTTTTATGGGCCAAGAAAGAACCTTGCTCTTTTACATGTATTTTCTCATCTAATCATAACTATGGCCCAACAAAAGTAGATCTGTCTTATTTCTAGATAGGAAAACTTGAGTACACAGGGGTGAGTCTTGGGTACAGTTTAAATAGGTGATGTTACAGAGCCAGGACTAGAACTTCTGTCTATCCTCACTACTTTTCTGTGGAGATTTAAGGGCATTAGAATAAAAGAACCTTAAAATGTTCTACTTGGGGGTGTTCTTGTATATTATTTAGCCCCAGTCCTTCAAATGATAAGGAACCTGAAACTAAAGGGGTAAAATGAGTTATCCAAGGTCACATAGCTAGTTTAAGACAGAAATGGCATGAGAAACTGTCTAGATAATTAAAACACTCAGGCACACCCATACACATACACACATACCCACGCCCAAGGTTATAAGACTAGCTTGTGATAGAGCTGGGATTTGAACCCAGTCTGTTTAGCTCCAAAGCCCATATTAAGTTTAGTCTATCAGTTCTTCCCAGCCTTGGATGGAGATACAAGTAGAGCCTCAGCCCCCATCAACAGGCAGTCTCTGAAATTAGTCTTGTTGACCCAGACCTTCACATTTCCTGGGATGAACCAGGAAGGCACAGCCTTTCCAGCTTTTTGTGATTTTGGCCAGGGATGAATGAACTGGTTCATCCTCAGTCTTTTTTCTTAGAATTTGAATTCTCAGCTTGGCTTGGGCCTCAACACTCTCCTTTGTCCTGCCAGCTTTCTGCATTGGAGAATACATCCTTTCCTGTGGCTGCCAGCTTTTGGCTATAAACAGCACCCAGCTGACTTTGAATATTTTTTGTCATGGGGCTCCCATTCCACTGCCCATTCTGTAGTATATTTTCATTCAACTATCAGAATCAGAAAGGCTTATGAGTATCTCCATTAGGCTCACTTCGCCTTTAGGCTGGGCCATGCCTCTTCCTGTTTTGATATGTTCAGGTTCTCTGATTTGGCCTCAGCTCTGACTTTTTAATATATTTCAAATCTCTTCAATATAATAACATGTAACAGTGGTTCTCATACTTTTGGATTTCACAGATCAGTTACATTTGAAAAAAATGAACTGTAATAAATATGTATTTTCTTTTTTTTTAAATTTGCACAAGTAACAATGGAAGATACTCTCTGAGCTCCCAAACAACAGACTGGTGAGATTTTCAACATTAGGTTGCTTGAGCTGCCTCCCCACCTACATACAATCATACAAGTAATCCAGGGGTTTGTGCTGCTGGATCTCTAGGTCATGGCAGTGAGCACACTTGCCACTTGTACTACGATACATGGCACTGCTGTCCATGAAGGCTTCCCTGTGGGTAGAGAGCAGTGTAGTCATTGAATGGGTTGGTTATTCCCATTGCCAATCATCCTGGAAAGGAGCAGATCCTAGAACTAGAAAAGATGCCTGAAAAATAGGCCTTAAGGGGGAAGAGATAATTCTCCTGAGCTTGAAATTAGAGAAACTCTGGTCTAAGCAGAGGGGTCCCCCAGGTCATAGAGGAAAGATGGCACCTGCCACATGGAGGAGGCCAGAAGATGCAATCCCTT